CAGGGAACTATTGCCAAAAATGGGAGTTAAATTTTGATTTACTCTAATTGAAATGTAGCTTAATATAGATTTTATCCCAAACAATTAAAAAATGTTATTATCTTCAAGCGTTAACCTGCATCAGCCTACACCAGCCTGCAGTACCCACTCCTGCACCACCCACTCCTGCACCAGCCTGCACCACCCACTCCTGCACCAGCCTGCACTACCCACTCCTGCACCAGCCTGCACTACCCACTCCTGCACCAGCCTGCACTACCCACTCCTGCTTTCCCTCCGGGCGGGGGGATCTGCCCCGAGTCCCCCAGCAGCACGCGCTGGTTGTTAGCCTCACTGCACGATCATTTATTCTTAAATTATTTATATTTCTTATTTATTGTTACATATGATTATTATTGTCGTTATTACGTGCAATTATTTATACACCGAGACAAATTAAAGCCATTGTACATAATTTGGTCCGCTTGAAGAACAGTTACTAGAAGACCGGCATACATCATCTGCTCATGTCGGCGATGATGCCCACCTGATGATACAGGCGATGATGCCCACCTGATGATACAGGCGATGATGCCCACCTGATGATACAGGCGATGATGCCCACCTGATGATACAGGCGATGATGCCCACCTGATGATACAGGCGATGATGCCCACCTGATGATACAGGCGATGATGCCCACCTGATGATACAGGCGATGATGCCCACCTGATGATACAGGCGATGATGCCCACCTGATGATACAGGCGATGATGCCCACCTGATGATACAGGCGATGATGCCCACCTGATGATACAGGCGATGATGCCCACCTGATGATACAGGCGATGATGCCCACCTGATGATACAGGCGATGATGCCCACCTGATGATACAGGCGATGATGCCCACCTGATGATACAGGCGATGATGCCCACCTGATGATACAGGCGATGATGCCCACCTGATGATACAGGCGATGATGCCCACCTGATGATACAGGCGATGATGCCCACCTGATGATACAGGCGATGATGCCCACCTGATGATACAGGCGATGATGCCCACCTGATGATACAGGCGATGATGCCCACCTGATGATACAGGCGATGATGCCCACCTGATGATACAGGCGATGATGCCCACCTGATGATACAGGCGATGATGCCCACCTGATGATACAGGCGATGATGCCCACCTGATGATACAGGCGATGATGCCCACCTGATGATACAGGCGATGATGCCCACCTGATGATACAGGCGATGATGCCCACCTGATGATACAGGCGATGATGCCCACCTGATGATACAGGCGATGATGCCCACCTGATGATACAGGCGATGATGCCCACCTGATGATACAGGCGATGATGCCCACCTGATGATACAGGCGATGATGCCCACCTNCTAGGTTATCACCTTGGGGAGGGAGAAGTCGGAGGGGACCTTGTGGAGCTTGGCCATGGTGGGGCGGTTGGGGAACTTCTCGAAGACCCGCAGTCGCAGGGGCAGCGTCTCTTGGATGCCGGCGCTCTGCTTCCTGGCGTTGAGCTGCCGCATCTTCTTGAACTCCTCGTCCAGCTCCAGGTTGTCCAGGATCACAGCCACGAACAGGCTCAGCACGATCTGAAATACGAAGCTTTTTGTACCGAATAACGTAGGATTAATTTTCATAACTTTTATTTTATTTTACTTTTAACGCTTTTTACTCTATACACAATCCTCATTTTTTAATATGAAAAAAATGCGGCAGTTGAAAACGAAATTCCATGTTGGCAAGAAAGGGTTTAGAGAAAGGTTAAATTTTGAAAGATAAGTGAATATCTAACAAGATATTCCCATAAACGCACAAAATTAAATTAAAGTAGTAAAGGAAAGGCAAGATGGGGCCATAAACGCAGTTATCAAGTGCACAGGACATCAAGTTGTCCTGTGCAGGAACGTTCCTATTGCTTGAAGTCCTAAGGAATATATGACTTCAGTTATATACGTGTTACGAGCGCCACTGACAACGTATACCTGATGAAGTACATGGTACGGAGGCTTACCAAGGTGACAAAGAGGTGGTACAGGATGAAGTACATGGCCACGAAGGGCGCCACTCCATCTGTCGCTTTTTTCATGGTGGAAGTCATAGTCTCGTCCATGACTTCGACCCAGCCTTCCTGCGTCAGGATCTGGAACATCGACATGAACGCCTGCGGGGAGAGGACACAGCCAGCATTAGACACGTAGCTATAGGGACGGCAATAATAGAGCATCATAACATATGTGTAATAAGGTGTCATAATATGTATGGAGAGACATTATTATTTAGTACGAAGGAATAATTAGAGAATTTTTTCTCCATGAACGGGAGTTTTCAATTGAAACCACGGTGTCATGGGGACCACGGTGTCATGGGGACCACGGTGTCATGGGGACCACGGTGTCATGGGGACCACGGTGTCATGGGGACCACGGTGTCGTGGGGACCACGGTGTCGTGGCTGTCTCTTATACACATCTAGATGTGTATAAGAGACAGATGATAGACATGATATGACGGCATTGTAGACATGGTATGACAGCATTGTAGACATGATATGACGGCATGATAGACATGATATGACGGCATTGTAGACATGGTATGACAGCATTGTAGACATGATATGACGGCATGATAGACATGATATGACGGCATTGTAGACATGGTATGACAGCATTGTAGACATGATATGACGGCATGATAGACATGATATGACGGCATTGTAGACAT